GGGGGGGTCCAGGCCGGCCGGTGGCCCCGGGGCCGCTCCCACTGCCCTGGAAGCTGCCTGGGAGCGGCGGGAATTGTAGATTTTTCTTCCCGGCAGGGATCAGGGCGGTGTCTGCTGTGGTGGGCAGCGTTGCCCCCGGCGCTGCTTTGTGCGAGCGGGCAGGAACAGGCCAGGAGAAAGTTTTTTGGGGGAAGAAGGAAAAAGGTAAATATTTCTATAATAATAAATGTATTTTTGATAGATAGAAAAAAATATATTCACCCGTTACGTCCGTGCTCCGGAGCTGCTGCACCGTGCCGCCAGCTGCCCTGAGACCTTTCTCCCGGCAGCCTGGGATTTGCTGGCTCTGATTCCTCTTTCCCTCCCTCCCTGTAAAAGGGAACGTGGTGGGAACCTCCCGCGGTGCCGCGGCTGCACCCGCAGCCCCGGGGCTGCGCCCCCGACGTGCCACCGGGTGCCAGAGGGGTGAGGGGCTCCGTGGCGCCGTGGGGGACGGGCGCCGGCGGGTTTTCGCACCTCGCACTGGGAAGCACCCCCGGACATGGGCGGGTGGCGGGTCTCAACCTTCCAAGTTGCTTTTCCACCCAACAGACAGTTGGGGTCTCTTGGCCGTGGCTAGTTGGACACCACGTCCAGCTGCTCCGCCAGCAAGGGGAGGGTTGCTCCAAGCAACAGGGACCTTCACCTCCTAATGTGGCGAAGACAAAAACCTTGTGTGGGAGACAGAGAAAGGGTGTCCGGGTGCTGTTTTATTGTATGCTGAGGGCTGTTGTAATGAGTCCTGAAGGCGCTGGGTGACTCTGCCAGTCTGGCACCAGCTGTTACGGCACTGGGGTTATCTCCTTCCCTTTCTGCGGGTTGTCATTGCAGTTCTTGCTCTGGTAGCACCTGCGGGTCCTGGGGGAGTGGGACCCACCACGCTCAGGACTCAGACACCGAAGCAGAAACGCTGCCGTCCCCAGGGAACGCGTTTCCGTGCAGGGTTGGGCAGAAGACGGAGGGGTGAGAGGTACCAGCATCCTGTTTGGTTGGTGTCGGAGGTGGGAACTGCCCAAGGGCCAACTTGTGGACCTTCTCTCGCACCTATAACGTGGCAGACTTAGACCTGGGTAAGCCTTTGAGGAAGACACATGCTTTTTTGAACCCTCTGGTTAGGGTCTCGGCTGCGGAAGCCATCTCTCCCCCAGAACCACCGTGGCGCTGCCTTTAGACGTCTCATGGCCAAGCCCCCACCGCGCTCAGGGCTCGACGCGTTCATGCCGTTATCAGGGCGGGGAGAGCGTGGAGACACGACCACATCTGTCACGTGTGACCCAAACCCTGCCAGTTCAAGGTGGGTGGTGGTGGCAGGAGACCTGCAGCCCCCTTGTGCCTCCCTGGTGAGCGCGCACGTGGCTGGTGGACGGGCTGAGATCTCCGCCCTGGATTTTTTATGGAAACATCCAGCCTAGGACAGAGCAGACTCCCCTGCTTCATTTTTGTGCTGCAGGACCTAGAGAAGTCATGTGCTTCCAGGCTCAAATGGTCTCGAAAGACCTTTCTGATCAGCTCATAGGACTTTCCTCCTCGCTCTAGTTGACCCAGGACACATCTTTTAGGGAAACCAGACAGCTCAGCGCCATGGCGAGCGCACTCCTGCCAGGGGGACGGAGCTCCAGGGTGGGTCTCTGCATGGCCCGCTGGCACCATCTCCACCGAGTCTGCCCAGGGATCACGTCCTACCCCTGCCCACTCTGCTGCGCAGCCCCCGGCTCTTACCGGTCCCTCTCCTGCGGCAGAGACGGAGCAAAGCAGAATCTCCAGATCCAGAAAAACACGAGAGGTTTTGTCCCGAGATCCCTCCGGCCGGTCACTTCCCTCGTGGCAGGGTGGACACTCGACCTGGCCGCTGCACTTGGTTGGATACCCAGTGCAGAGACGCCGTCTTCAAACATTTATATGCCTGCAGATGGTGCTTATCCTCACACCTCCGGCGCTGGGCCGTTCCCTGCGTGCCGCGTCTCCCAGGGCTTTCAGAGGCGCCTCCTCCCCGTCCCTCTGAGAGTCACCGTCCTTGTCTGGCGCATGCATGAGCTCTTTGGGGACATCCCAACGCGCGCTGTCGTCTCTCTGTCTGCATCCAGGCTTGGCCTAACTGGTCCAGCATGTGTGGCCCTGGATCCCACAGCCCCCAGGCAGCCGCCAGGAGCCATGAGCTCTTCCCGGGATGCCTCTGGGGCCACGGGAGGCTTCTCCCTCCCCGCCATGCCCCCCCCAGCTGTCCCTCAGAGTCACACGTCTGGGAATTGGCCTTTCCCTCTGTTCCTAGGGAACGGGTCTCCTTGCTCTCACTTCCTTCTTCCCCCCCCCCCCCCCCCCCCCCCCCCCCCCCCCCC